TGGTGCTGTTCCTGGCTTCGTTTTCGTGCTTTTCTAAATTCTTCCGGACAGAATTTGTTAGGTGCACTGCACTTTCACCGCAATTTATATGATTCTTCAGCTCGCCTACCACTGAACCTCATTTGATCCTTCGTAGTGTGTCTCATGCGTAGAAGACGTAGTAAGAGTCACCTACTTCGGAGTTGCAAGAAAAGCTATTAGTTGGATTAAATCGCTGACGAGGAGCAAGAAAGCGATTAAAAGCAGCAGGTCAAAGGTAAGCAATGAATACATGCTATTCTCACATGGATTGTTTGATCGTTGTCCTCATCGTCAGTTTCCACCTTGACTGAGTGATGAATTATACCATTATCCCTCGTACTGGACAAAAACGACAGTCGCGGGCTAGAGCCTTTTGGATGAATTGCAACAACTGGAGAACTTGCTGTTGAATTACTCAGATCTGGCACAATCTGGTAAGCATTCTCCGGTTTCAGGCCAAGATCCTGAACAGTTAAAGGATTCAATAAAACGTCTTGATGTGACTGTTTGAAGCGGAAGTGATTTTCAAGCGTTTTTGCACTTATACAACACAAAAACTGATTTCGTGGATGGGTTGCCTGTGTATGTGTGCGCGCGTATATTTCGATCTCCGGTCTGGGAAAGTTATGAACCTAAAATTTGAGCAGTTTGATCTACCTCTGTGGAGAGGCTCCACAACCATGAAATGAATGCTCACGCCCTCTGGTTTTCACGTACGAACATGTCAGAGATATTTTGGCAGGGGAGTTCCAGCCTCTCCGGTTCCCAGGTTAGTGAATTTTCTCGCCAAAAAATTTCACAGGGCTATAATTGGGAGCTGTGCATACCAGGAGGCTGGGTTTAAATTCCTTAAGATGAACATGGATTTGGGACATCCTCTCAAAATTTCAGCCTTCCCGCTTTCCTGGTTCCCGCATTAGCCACTATTCCGCTAAAAACTTACACGGGGCCGTACGTGGGAGCCATGCACATCTGGGGGCTGAATTTGAAATCTTTGAGTTCTCAGTGCACAGGGGACATAACTGTAAAGTTTCAGCCTCTCAGCTTTTCGGGTTCCCGAGTTAACAATTCGTCCGCCAGAAATTTTTACGGGACCGCACGTGAGTGATACGCGTAGTGGAGGGTTGAATTTAAAACTTTTAAGTTGTACGTTGACTGGGAACATTTTCTGAAAATTTCAGTCTTCCAGTTTCCCTGGTTCCCGAGTTAGCCATTCTCCCGCCAAAACTTTCGCGTGATCGTACGCGGGGTCCGGACATGCGTGGCGGTTGGTGCCGCGGTCCTGGGGTGGCACTTGGCCGGAGAACTCGCTGGCAATGTCTTGGCTCCGGAATTTGCGTGGTTGCCGAGTTAAAATACCCGGACAGACAGACACACACGAACATATATACATACACACGCACACCAGAGGTCGTCGCAGTATTTTTGCTTACTGTAGCAGCGCTGTAGCGCTCCACAGCAAAAACGCATGTTGTGTATGCGTGTATGTATGTGTATCTGTCTGAATATTTCAGCTCGACATCCAAGCAAGCTTTAACGCTAAAATTTTGCCAATGGATTCCCCGGCCAACTGCCACCCCAGGAGTATGGTACCGTCCCTCACGCACATCTGAGTCCCGCGTACGAGCGCGTAGTTTTGGCGGGAAAATTGCTAACCCGAGAACCAGAAAAACTGGGGGGCTGAATCTTGACAGGATATTCCCTTTCACGTAAAAATTAAAGATTTCAAACTCAGTTCCCAGATATGCATGGTTCACACGTGCAGATCCGTGAAAATTTGTGGCAGGAAAGTTGCTAGCCCGGAAACCAAAGGAGCTGAATGGCTGAAATTTTGAGGAGTCCTCTTTCCATGTAAAACATATATATTTCAAATTCTGCGCCTAGTTATGCGTGGTTCTTACGTATGGACACTCAAAAGCTTTAACGGGAAATTATTCACTGAACAAGTAGTTCAAAGAACGACCGTTCGACAAAAGTTGTTCACTATCATTTGTGCAAAATTGCGATGGTTTACGCTAGTGAGCGTACTAAGCAAGTGTAAAGTAAGAACCATTCATATAGTTAAACGACCTGATTGCTTCAAGTTTAGTGCACTATCAGCCTGGTGCGTTCCAGCTTAGAGTTTTTATTGCGACTTGATCACAGGTCGAGTGGAGTGTTATTTTCTGGTAACTGCATTGTATGTTTTGGCGACTGTTAAGTCACAGTGCGACAATACTTGAAAATTTGCGGCGCAGCCAGAATTTCTTGTGATTGGGAATACTTTGGGAAATTCATCCCATTGAAAAGGTCCTAGATGAGTTTGCTTTCTGTGCCTTTTCCTCAGGCAACGCCAGTGCTGAAAACAAATTTGTGCGATTATAGATAACTGTGTGACACAGTTAACGAAAGTGACAGCC